TTTGTTTAAATGGATTTATAATACAAAGTGTATATGTTATAGTTTTCGTTTATATAGTAGGGGAGGAACACGAACAAAAATATTAGGGTCGATACCAACATGTTAAAATATAACCTTATAAACAAGTTGTATTTGATTAAAGGTTATGACATCAAAATATAAACATAACAATTAATATGAAATATTCTTAAATCGTTCATCAAAGTGAAAACTCATCAGCCTTCAAAGATATAAATTTTTTTACGTCTTTGAAGTTTTGCACCATTTACACTAAATTAATCTTCTAAATTAATCTTTTGAGAAAGTTCCTCTAAACTAATCTTTTAGTCATTCAAAAGCTCACTAACAAGTTCATTTACACTGAAAATGGCTAATGAATGTAAATAGGAATTGTAAAATAAATAGAATAATGAATAAAAATAAAGCTTTTTACATGATTTAAGAACTCGATTTGGTATTAAAGAAATGTTTGTTTTATATACTATCATACTAGGTGTAAAATCCATTTATTATATGGGTTCATTAAAAAAAATATGAAGTTCTAAACATTTAAAGGTTTGAATTTATAAGAAAATTAGAAAAATATTGAATTATTAAAATTAAAATATATTTTTTTCTTTTTTAAATTTAAACAAATAATTTAGATAAATAAACAAAGGAAACCAATGAGATTTTAATTTAGAAAATTTAAAATTAAAAAGAAGATCAATTAATGAAATTGATATGTATTTATTATCATATTTTTTATAATTATTCATTTAAATATAATGTGAAATTTGATCAAATGAAAAAAAAAATCATAAAATATCATGTGGAAAAAATTTAATTGAAAATAACCACAAAATGATGATATGTGACAATATCAATAAGGATGTTATACATGCAAAAAAATTTCATTTATTAGAGTAAAGATCGGCCTAGTATGTATATAAATGAAAATATAAATATAAAATTTTAACAAATGTATTTACAAGACATGATGAAAAAAATGCAAATTAAGAAATGAGAGATACGGAGAGGGGGTGTAGTGTAAATCCACATCGTTAGTTATATAATCTTCATTAAATCTATTTGTCCATCATTTTTATAAATAAAAAAAAAAAAAAAAAAAAAAAAAAAAAAAGAAAGAAAGAAAGTGGAGGAACGATAGAAGTATATCCTTAAAATAACGAGATGGGAAGTGGGTCATACCTAATGTTTAAATAAATAAATAAATAATTTTCTAGTTATATGTTGGGCTTCAGTTTTGCTTCAATGACATTAAATCTATTTGTCCATCATTTTTATAAATAATAATAATAAATAAATAAATAAATAAATAAAGTGGAGGAACGATAGAAGTATATCCTTAAAATAACGAGATGGGAAGTGGGTCATACCTAATGTTTAAATAAATAAATAAATAATTTTGTAGCTGTATGTTGGGCTTCACTTTTGCTTCAATGTATACGTTTTCATACCGAATCCATACTTGGCATGTTATATTAATCAAGTTTATTAAAATTTCGATTTTGATCGAATGATCTTACGATTTTAAGATATATAAGTGAAAAACGATCTCAATCACACTACGATCCCGATCTCACATCTTTAGTTTTATTTTTATTATATAGCCAAGTATCAAAAATTCATCTATTCAACTTGCAATGGAGCTTCTTAAGTTGCAAGAAGTCTTCTAGAACATCACAATTTTATCAATTCTTCTCGAGTTAGACATAACACACCCATATCGTTAGTTATATAATCTTCATTAAATCTATTTGTCCATCATTTTTATAAATCAAAAAAAAAAAAAAAAAAAAAAAAAAAAAAAAAGAAAGTGGAGGAACGATAGAAGTATATCCTTAAAATAACGAGATGGGAAGTGGGTCATACCTAATGTTTAAATAAATAAATAAATAATTTTCTAGTTATATGTTGGGCTTCAGTTTTGCTTCAATGACATTAAATCTATTTGTCCATCATTTTTATAAATAATAATAAAAAATAAATAAATAAATAAATAAAGTGGAGGAACAATAGAAGTATATCCTTAAAATAACGAGATGGGAAGTGGGTCATACCTAATGTTTAAATAAATAAATAAATAATTTTGTAGCTGTATGTTGGGCTTCACTTTTGCTTCAATGTATACGTTTTCATACCGAATCCATACTTGGCATGTTATATTAATCAAGTTTATTAAAATTTCGATTTTGATCGAATGATCTTACGATTTTAAGATATATAAGTGAAAAACGATCTCAATCACACTACGATCCCGATCTCACATCTTTAGTTTTATTTTTATTATATAGCCAAGTATCAAAAATTCATCTATTCAACTTGCAATGGAGCTTCTTAAGTTGCAAGAAGTCTTCTAGAACATCACAATTTTATCAATTCTTCTCGAGTTAGACATAACACACCCATAAAAATCAATTTATGATCTTATGTCTTACTTGTACATGATCAAATTGATATTATTTCTAATAAGATGATTTATTCTTAATGTTTACAGTTCATAGCAATAAAAATTATAGGTGATGCTTAAAAAGTTAAAGTTGACTATATTATCTTGTGAGCAAATTTGAATATGAGTTCATTTTGATAGGATATTACGATCCTGATCCAATCTTACCATCACGATCTTGCAAAACCTAAAATGATCTTAAGTAAGATCTCGATTCTGACAACCTTAATATTAATAGTTATAAGTGAGACAATGGCCTCCCCTGACCCTTATTGAGTTCTACCACTGATATGAATTCCAAATATAATTTTGTTTTTATTGCAATTCAAAATACTTTTTAACACATAATCGAGTGGATGGGCTCAAAAGTATCTATTACTTTACTAATATTTCATCATTTCTGAGTAGGTTGGTCATGAAAAAATAGACAAAGGAAAGTACATTGCTACATAACATGAAAAATAATTAAATTAACTTCCCCCTCTTGTGCTAAGTCACAAAAAGTAGAAAAATAAAAGTGTGTTGCTATTTATTGAGCAAAGAAACTAATTTGCATCCGATCGTTGAAAAATAAACAAAGGAAATTATGTTAGTTTGCCAATACACTAGAGTATTCAAAATCGTAGGATATAACGTTAGTTTATATTGGCAATAAGAATTAAAAGACATCTTCACCTTAAGACTCTGCTTGTTACACACGACAACATCACTACCTCAACCCCATATAAATGGAGAAGATAGGATGGTTCGCAACTCTAATAAGATTTAGAGAGTGCTTTCATAAAAGACCCGATGCAAAGATAAAAAAAAATACATAAGAATATATAATAATAATAATAAAAGTTTTAAATTAAAACCTTGTAAGCATGTCCTTACTAATCCCTACATAAGATCTATCTTACTTCTATACAAACATTAAACTATTATCCAGTGGTTAAACTTACTATTTGATGGGGAAGGATTTGAGTTGGTGTTGGGAGGTTGAGAAGCCGTGATGGAAGAAATAATCTCATAGGAAGGAGAAAATGGAGCACATGAGCACAATATGTTTTTAGGGCTGGTCCAAGTCGATTAAAGGCCCATGACAAAAGCAAAAAACAAGGCCCTTCAAAATTTAGTAATCACAAACGATATCTACGATGTCTATAAAGACGAGTACATGATGTTAGATTTTGGGGTCTTAAGAATATCAATATACTTTGATATTTCTTGGATCGTGATTGTAATCACTTTTCAAAATCTGTGATTTCGACCCTATAGCCTGGGGTATCACTAAATCAGATTTGGGATAATCCAAAAATTTTCAATTTAGAAGTCAGACCACTTTTAAATAAAAAACATAGAAAAGTACCTTGTTGTTTTGTATTATTGAGAGATAGAACAAATCAATATATGGTTTTTGTGTATGTAAGTTCCAACCCTTTTTTTGGAACCAGAGAAAGATTCTTATACTAGAAGGAAAATTAGTTACACGGAAGTTGCATCCTTTTGGTACCAAAAAACGTTGGTTATTAAGATATAACTAACTCATGACATCACAATGATATCATTAAAGGTCTTGGCGGAAAATGCATGGCAGGAGTCATATTTAACATATAAATCCATTTAGGTTTTGGGGCGCTACCCCGAACCCTACCAGGGCCTATGCCCCTTGGACCTTGATAGGGGCACTGCCCCTAGACCCCGCCAAGGGGCTACAACCCCTTGGAACCCTGCACCCAGGGGCGCTACCCCTGAACCCCTGTATTTCCGAGTTTACATTTATCACTCCGAGTGTGCACCCCCGCGCCTCCTATCTTGGTTTGTAAATGGAGTTCAGACTATCTCATGATTAATAATAATTATACTAAAATATGTTGATAACACTAAAATCACCAACACATGAGCATTTGTTATTAAAATTATATATATATATATATATATATATATATATATATATATATATATATATATATATATATATATATATATATATATATATATATATATATATATATATATAATGTATTTAAAGGATGAGTTCAAAAAGCCAATACGAAACAAAATAAAAAAATAATCAACAATCGAACAAGCGGACCATTTTTGAAAAACCATATGGTTGGTGTTTGGTAAAAAAAGAAAAATGTGTGTTTGAAAAAAAAAATCTTATGTAGGTAGAAACTATAAAATAAAAAAATTAAACTTGAAGAATAATCTACCTAGCCAATAGGTTGCTATGATTTTTGCTAATAAATCTATAAAAAAATAATTATTATACATTAAAAGACAGTGAAATATAGAAAATCTGATATATAATCAGGAAAGTTATCCATGTTATTGGCCATAAAACAACAAAATTTTAAATGAAATGAATGTTTTGTTAGTGTGTTAAAAAGCAAAAAGAGTCCAAGATCAATTTTTATAATTTGGATGATTTGTGAATAATAAAAAAGAATATAAATGCCATTTTTATAATTTGGATTCCATATCAATAAAGTGACGTATGAGCCTATGAGGTTTATTTTCGATAAACAAAAGTATTATAAGAAGAAGGCGCACATTAAGGAGAGACGACAATAGGATGTTCGTTTATTTTCGATAAACAAAAGTATTATAAGAAGAAGGCGCACATTAAGGAGAGACGACAATAGGACTCGAACATGGATATGTGACATGTCTAAAATGAAGGGCTAACCATCTGCACCTTTTAACCAATTCAAATATTGAAAATTTCATAAATAACCAAACTTATATATATTTATATATAATAATTAATTTTGGGGCCCCAAACCATATCATGACCCGGGCCATCGTCTAACTTGCCCCCTTATTGGGTCGGGTTCCAGCTACCAGTGGTAGTAGTCGTTTCCATTGAGGTATCCGGTAAGCTTACTCTGGATTTGAGGTACCGGTGAGATGCTGACAATGTTAACCTGGAAGAAGCACAAGAAGGTAGCACATTAGAGAGAGATAGGAGAAAGCACACTAGAGAGAGTCGGTTTATATGTATCTAGTTATATATTCTCTTAATGAACCAAAAGTAATGAATGATATATTTTTAGTCCGACATGGATAATATGGTTAATAACATGATCACAGGTAACTATTGCTATTTTAATGAAAGTTTTTCCGTGACACGATATACTTGTGGGATGACTTAGGACATTCGTTTTATTATTTTTTTCTCATTTTCTTAGGTTTTTCTTATGAAAGAAGAGAAAGAACATAAGTTACTTGATATTCGAGGGCAGTTTCAAGTTGTGTCACGACGTCCTCCATTAATGGACGTTTTTCACTGTCATTCTTCAAACATTGATAAGCAATTGCTGAAAACACCTCCAAAGAGGTAGGATGTATTTCTTCCTTTATATTACCCCAAATAATTTCATTTAGGTTATTCTGTTTGTAATGTTTTCGGACCAGTTGAGTAAAAGATTGAAGCTTATCATTGCTCTCAAAACACAATCTCCCACACAAAACTTCAAATAAGACTATTCCAAATGAGTAAACGTCTGACTCCTTTGTTAGTATCCCACTTTCTAAATATAGCGGATCACAATACCCAATAGTGCCAACTCTATTATTGGTGACAAGGAATGTGTAGTTCTGGTTAGCTGGTCCAAATTTGGATAGACCAAGATCGGATATCCTGGCATTCCAGTTGTCATCTAAGAGAATGTTGGAGCTTTTAATATCTCTGTGCAATACTCTTTGTTGAGTACCTGCTGGATTATGAAGGTATGCTACTCCACGAGCCACCCCGATACAAATTGTAAGGCGTTGAACCCAAGTTAGATCCTTGTTGTTCAAATGTAAGTCAAGACTTCTTTTGGATGAATACTCATACACAAGGATCTTCTCGCCTTTCTCATCACAAAACCCCAAGAGGGAGACAATATTTTCATGTCTGTAAACTGAAAGCATAATCACCTCCTTCCAAAACTCAGAGTCTCCTTGCCCAAATGAACGATCTAAACGTTTTATGGCAACCGTGGTATGCCCCATCGAATGGAGGAGTTCTCCCTTGTACACTTTCCCAAAGCCTCCGTTCCCGATGCAGCTCTCTTTAGAAAAGTTGTTTGTGGTTGATTCTATAGCTTCTAGTTGTATTTTTAGGTGTTCAAACTGTTTTAGGACAGACATCGTTTTGATGATCTATCAAAAATAGGAAACAAAACTAAAACTTACAAAGAATTAAAGTCGAAAGGGGCAGCGGCGTTGATGATAGTTAGGAAAAACAAGGCCTTCAGCTACAACAAGGAAGAGAAAATGAGGAGTTAGATAAGTGACCAATACATATATGCTACAAAAAGTAACGATTCATATTACAAAAAGTAACGATTCATATCAAGGCCAAAGTGGAGGGACTAGTGGCAGACCAAGACATGTGGTAGTAAAAGTAGGATTAATTATTGGAGGAAAAATTTATTTTTCTCTAGATTTTATTTACCAGAAAAATCCATTGCGATAAACTCTCTTGAATGACTAATTTTCTTAAAGGTTTTTCGAAAATTAGATAATCATTATTATTATTATTTGTATATGTTGTACAAATTTTTTCTTATAATTTGCTACTTTTAAGTAGGGTTATTAACACAAAAGTCTATAAAAACGTGTCAAGTTTTTTCTTATAATTTGCTACTTTTAAGTAGGGTTATTAACACAAAATTCTATAAAAGCTTGTAATAAAAGTTTGGTTTTACTCTAAGGTCTATTTTTACGTTCAATCATGCCACAAATCATCCTAAAGATGTTGTCATGACAATGTTACAGAATTGCTACATAATAGAATTAGGATTAGAAGTACACATAAAGCATACAGAGTACAAGGTAGTATTGATTATTAGCAATGATAGTACGTACCATACACTCACGACTACAAAAAAGAGCATTACCGATGGCCAAAGCCGTCGGTAATCCGTCGCTAATACTCTTAACGACAGAATTGTAACAAACCAAAATCCGTCGGTATATTCTTTTCGCTAATTGTTTGTAACAGATTTCCGACGGCTTCGACAAATTTTTAGCGACGGATTTTTCCGTCGATAATCAATAACAGATTATCAACGGATTTGTATTTTTAACAGAATGCCGACGTAATTATTCAGTAATGGATTACCGACAGAATATCCTACAACGGATTACCAATGAATTTTCTTATAACAGATTACTGACGGATCCTAGCATTATAAAAAAAAAAATTAATATCAAGAAAAGTCCAAATTTTTTATATATTCAAAACAAAAGAATCTTAAAATATACATCAAATTCATATTTTAAAATCAATAAAATATGAAAGTAAAAATTTTCAATAATTGATACATTATAACCATAAATTTCAAATACAAATCGAAAATATAAAAATAATTTACATATTTATACAAAATAACAAAATCTATAAGGTGTCCCCAACATGATGTAGCCATCACTACAACTTTTCCATTTCATGCGCTTCCATACACTCACACCTGCAACCAAGTACACCTTGAATAACATGTAACCTAGTGTGTGTATCTGTGTGAGAGAGAGAGAGAGAGGTAATTCTTACTGGAGGGTCTATTTTAAATGATGGATATTATTTTTATTTTGATCTGGTTCATTCCTGAGCAATATAAGATGTTGCACAAAACAATATATGTTATTGATATGAAAATAGAAATAGACTTAATAAAATTTTCTTTAAAAGTACCTTATGAGTGTCTTGTAAGCACCAAAGAAGTTTAACTTCCTTTTCAAGTTCAGGAACAGCAAGCATTGTTCTCCAACCTCATCCATGTAATTATATTACGAAACCATGAAATAAAAATTAGGAAAAATACAAGAAATAACAACGTACTTACATTTCTTTCTATTACATCATTGTTAAAATGTAACGCCTGTGTTTCTAGGTTAGGCATTAATGATGATGTAATACTCTAGGTCAACATTTATAACTTGTTTTGAGGTAATAAAGATGTATTATTTGAGCATATGTGTTTTATACTTAATTATTATGATTTAATGAATTAAGGATAAAAATAAGCATCGAAAATAAATATTAGATGAACCCGATATCTATGAAGAAACATGTAGTGGCTGAAACAAGGATTCCGAAGACATAAAGAATACCGAAATCCAAGTTATAACGAAGAAGTTATGATCTGTCGAAGTTTCGCGACAGAACCGGCACGACGGTGTGTGACGTAAAAAGTGAAATTACAATAAAGTGCTTTTTAGCATTAGTAATCTAAATGAAAGTCGTAGTGTTCATTAAACCGAGAGCGTGCATAAAAAGAATGCCCAAATCTGACTTCGTATGAGGATGTTATGATTTTTCTAAGTTTCGGTTTAGTAGTATGCTATCTGAAACTTGAATTTTAGATCGATAGATTTTTAGCCGAAACAACCTAAACGAGAATCGAAGATCTCGTCGATAGCAGTTTAACAGTAAAAAGACAGACGAAAAAAAACATCGGATGAAGAAGTTATGAATTTTTAACGGACTTTTCCTGTCCCGACCTGTTAAAAATATAACTATAAAAATAAAGTCAAAATTAGCCGATGGAGTCTAAATGAAAGTTGTAGAGCATAATTTCAACTACGCGTGGATATAAAGAACATAAAAAAACAGAGCTTGTATGCGAAAGTTACGAATTTTTGAAATTTTGGGCACACACTTCGAGGCTGGTCCGAAGGAGTACGCCCAACGTACTCGTGTAAGTGACCCGGAGTCAGTCACCCTCCCCACTCCTTCGCATGAGGGACACGTGTCATAGCCTTGAAGCGTCCGAGCTGATCCACTTCATACGCCCAACGTACAAAGTTACGCCCAACGAAGATCCTTCCGAGGTAGTACGCCCTGCGTATCGAAGAATTACGTCCAACGTAATAAGGAGATTCGGCCTCATATAAATGGAATCTGAAGCCAACCGATTTTTGGTTACAAACTTTGCTCTTTTTCACCTCTTATTTTCTTTTTACCTACACTAAGTACCCTAAGCCTAGAATAACATCCTAGCATCATAAGCAAGTCCCAGAGAGCCCGAAGATCCCGAGAAAAGAGTTATTCGAGACAAAACTCTGCCCGTGTGAAGCCCGATTTTTGAGAAAACATCTCAGTTTCATCAAAAAAGATTGTTTTAAGGGACGAAGTATTGTCCAACCGCCGTCTTATCATGTGAGTGTATGGTCACTTTCATCTTACACATAGATATGAAGTATTTTCTATAAAATACGTGCTATGTGTATATATATATATATATATATTAATTGTTTATTTGAGATGGGTGTTGAATGAATGTTTTATATAGGTTTAAATTGTATATGTATTTTTATCTACAAATATGTTGGGTAAAACATGGGTAAATGGAATAGTTGATGTATGATAAAATGATGAGAGGCCTCGATATTGTTGTTGTTATAGTAATCTAGCAGAGTATAGATGAAGACCACGGAACTTTCTAGTCACTCCAGTGGAACGCTAGCAGACTCGCATCCTGGAGGTGTTTATGAACTTAGTGTTTAGCGGTATACACCATCCCCCTCATGGTTACCTTATTTTACATAAATTGCTGAGGAATCCCTAAAGCAGTGTCGTCATGTCACACCCCCGAACCAGACGGCAGAAACATCCGAGGGCTCGTGTGACTAACAATTGAATAATCATCACAATGAATATACATGAAACATAACACATTCATCACCAACATAACATCATACAACCAGCATTGTTCACATCAAGTACATCGTTAAAATACATAAGTTCTAATTGTTCAAAGTACGATAAGTGATATTACATAAACAAACCATACACACTCGCATGTCTTCCAGCTCAATGATTACCTGAGAATACAAGTTATTTTGAAAACGGTCAACATATATAATGTTGGTGAGTTCATAAGTATGTTTGAGTAAAAGTTTTTGTATCTTTCATAAAAACCCAGAAAATCCAATATTTTCTGTAAATTGTTTGAAATTACTGCGCAAATCAAGTATAAAAGCATGTGTGAATGTCATAGTTATAACTTATATAAACGTAGTTTAGATTCATTGTATTTTGAATAACTGCTAAATATGTACGAATAATTTCCTCAGAAAATCCGATATTTTCCGTTTTTATAGCAATGTTTGGATTTTTGTATCATTAAATAAGAAATTTGTATGGACACCCTCAAAGAGTTTATCTTTAAAAGGTTTAACTTTTGGTATTGAATCCCTATATGAGCCGCTATAACCATGCATGATAATAACTAGGTTGCCTGTCTTGGTATTTTTCCAAATGTTGGTCTTGATAAGGATGTTGTCGCCCTAGACTGGCCTAGTCTAGCTGTAGCGAACATCTAAGACATGGTGGGTCACCCCGTATAGATCTATACACAAACTCCCGCTTTCTACCCAGGAAACTCTGATTATAACTATAGGCTACGATTGTACACTCAGTGGTGCCAACCGACATGTCTCACTAGATTCTTAACTCCTTTTTCATACCATGTTTAATGTTTACACATATGTTGTAGGTTTTGGATTCAAAAGGTACATTTTTATATAAGTATAAGACGTTAAGTGACTACGCAATGGTATAGTTTTGATCAGAAGCACATGAATTCCATTCCAAGCCCAATTAGCATGTAAATGGACAACGAAGGCCCAATAACATGTAAGAAGGTAACTTGGGCCCAATAGACATGTATAGGGGCCACAAAGCCCAATAAACATATAGTCCATAGTTTAGGCTCAAATTAACATGTAAGTTGGTCTCAAGGCCCACTAAACACGTCATGGAGCACATTGGGTTCAATATACACTTAGTTGGGCCGTTCCAACGGCCTGGTATCGTGAATAATAGGCCTAATAATTGATTATCGACATAATTTGTTCGTTCGTTTTTGTTTCGTGGTTTGTTTTAGCTAAGGGTTTACTAGATTGACGTTAAGAGTTTTCTTTTTGTAAAAATGGCATTTTTACCCAATAATCCTCAAAATTTTAGTTAAGGCCCAAAGTTTTGTAAAAATGACATTTTAGTCCATAAGTTATAAAAAGTTGCATTTTTGTCCCAAATGTCAAAAAAATACTTACGGTTTTAGCCCAAAAGTTATATTTTCACATTTAGAACCCTGTTTTGCAGAAAAGTGCATTTTCAGCCCTTTGTAAAAGTTTACATTTTCGACCCAATTTTGGAAAGTTTTACATTTTTGGTCCATTTTGAAAATAAATGTTATTTGCACTTCCAAATTTGGTTTATTTACATCCATGACTCCAACTTTGGCCAAATAATATTTTAAACCTTAAAACTTCATGTTTTTCGCAAAATGGGCCCAAAGGCCGT